ATTTATTTTGATTTGTATGGCTGCCCATTTCATTGTCTGGGCAGCTAACAACAATTAAAAAACACAACCTAAACAACATAACAAATATATAAGTTGCAGCTGGGATAAAACTAGAAGCAAACATCAAAAACCAAGATTGTATACACATCCCCCAAAAGGCAAACTAGGGCGTACATTTGCATAAGAAACATGTAACGGATTCAGTCAAATCCATAAGTAAATAGAATTACTTTATTTAGAGTAATGATGCCAAGAAAACTGAATGGAATGTCCAAGTCCCTTTCTATGTAGTTATAGGAATTGAGTTTGACTTGAAGGAGTTTTTACTTAAATATTAAAGCAATTTGTGGATTTCTGGTTATAGTTACGAAGTTTTGAATTTCTGAATCTCATTTTGTACCTGGGCTATAGGCTTTTTTTGTATGACATCTATACCAGATGAACAGTATGCTTGCACTGAATTATTTGTGTATTTTATTTTACACATTTCTATCCTGCTGCAGTCTTGACAGCTTCCATCGAATATAAAACCCAGTTAAAACATCCAGTGTACAAACTTCCAAAAAAGAGTAAAAATAACACCAATCAAACAATTAAAATGAAAGTTAAAGATGGCATAATAAAATCAGGGGAAGGGTCTCCGAAACAACTCTGTCTTTGGTAACTTCTGAAAATCAACAAGGAGGGGGCTAGCCTTATATCTGCCAGGAAGGTTGTTCCACAGTGTCAGCACTGCCACCAAGAAACAATGCCTTCTTGCTACAGTCCCTCAAACCTCCCAGTAATGTAGGATCAGTAAGTTTCCCATTTGATCTGACTGGTTGGGCCAGTACTAGTTGGAGTAGATGCTCCTACAGATAGCTGGATAGAATAGATGGTCCTGCAAATATTTATTTCACAGTATTCCCATGGAGCTCTTTTCAGGCATTAATTATATTGTTATTTGCTGAAATGGAAGATGAATGTAAGCAGTATCACTTTTAAAAATAAGATTTCAGAAATTCCAATAATTATAAGATCACTTATCTTCCTTGGAACAAAAATTCAGGTAGCTAAAATTCCTACTGACCATCAATAAGGTGTGTGTATATATACATAAATACTGGATTTCTTGGATTATAGACTTGTTGCTGAAGGTGGCATACATAACTACATTAATTTAATGAAGTAATTAAAATAAGTTCAACTTAGATCTTTTTGTATGCATATCTAGTTTTGCAACTCAGATATAAACAGTCAGCATTTTCTTTATATCATCTGATCTTTTATAATGGGAGGCAGTAGGAAGTGTATTTTGCTAAAGTGTTTTATATCTTCTGCAAAAGTCTAAAGGAGCAATGCAGAGAAACAGCTTTTCTCTCATACATTGTAGGTTAGGCCCTGGTTTTCTTTAAAAAACATTGAAAATTTACAGAAATTTCATTTCTCTTTTTATCCACAATTTTCCTGAGGAAGAAGGCCAGGAAGAATTGTAAATTTGATATAGCACAGTAGACTTTTATTCTCCTTAATTCCTTTTCCGATTGGTTTATTCTTTTTATAGCAATCTAACTTGGGAGTATTCAAATTTAACATCTCTCGAATACTGTTATCCAGTCAGATAAAATAGCATATATTCTTCTCCTGTGAATAATTAGAATAATTGTTGGGCAGGTATAACTGGTTTCTGTTCTGTTATTTTCCTTATGTTATTCTGCTTCCTACAAATGATCCTTCTGTTCCTGCCTTTACTTGCTGACACATCATTTTGTGCTTCAGAAAGAAACAGTAAATAATAGATTGGTAGTTGAATGCATAAATAAAGGAAAATATGGAACCTCATTGTCCAGTCCTCTGGACAAATACATTCAGTACTTCGTTCCGTAAAATAAATGCCAGGTTTTAAAAATTGCCACATGTCTATTGCTTTATAAGAATTACTGTAAGATAATTAAAGTATTACCATCAGGTAAACAAAAAATAATATTTTGTGAAATGAATTATAGAACTGTAAATTTTTGTCAGAATACCACAAATGACCCACATAGGCACATATGGACAAGTGGGCTGACAAAGTCAGTAGAAAGATAATGGTATGGTATTTATACTCTTCAAGCTTAAAAAGGTCAGAAGTCATTGAATTCTAGAAAATGGGACTGCAGTCTAAAACATGCACACTCTTATGCAAGTGGAAAAGGCCTGGTGGAATAAAGGCCAGGGACGTCATGTTTGAGTAGTTTTGACGATTGAAGGATTGGAGGCCACCCAAATTGGTGAATAACATTTTGCTAACATAGAGTTTACATATGTAGGAATTATGATAATCCAGGGCTATTGCTGCTTATTGACTTTAACTGACTTGTCATAAAAATTGGTGAAAGGTTTGGATGATGAGTGCCCTCATTGTGCTCCACATTTTTGTCTGAGCTGTGAAAGAGCAGTAGTTCCTGGGGGGAGGGGTGTCTTCATTTGAATACCCACAACTTCTGATTTTAAATGATGTTATCCTTGCTTAAATTTGGTGGTTTGACAAAGTTAGCAATTAGCAAAAAATGTATTTGTTTTTTTATCAAATGTTTTATAGGTTTTATAGTGAGTTTAACAAGCCAGAATAAAAATTAACAGTAATAGTACAATCAGATATAAATACATGTACACACGTATGTAATGGTAATTAAAATGAACTACAACTTAGAGAAAAAGGAAATAAAAAATCAATATTACATTAATTATATTAATACAGAACTGGACTTTTTAACATAGAACTTTAAAATAAAATCCATATTATAACCAGTTACATTACTTCTAATTTTTTTAAAAAAAAATCTTGAAATGTATTTTGCTATAATTCAAAAAGTATATGATACTATTTTTGTTTGTATTCTCTTGCTAGAAAAGAGTGGTTGAACAACTCCGAAAGAATTTAATGGTAAAGCAGGAACAGCCTGATAGTAAGTTTCAAATACAGCCATTGGCACAGACAGAAAATAAAATACAAACATCACAGCCGCTACAGCAGCAGCCGCAGCAGCCACAGCAGCAGACCACTGCACCCTCTCCAAACCTGCTTGGGTCACAGGTAAAGTGTTTGAATTAGTTACTGTGATTTTGGGAAGCTATTTCTTAGGCTGAAATTCATCACTGTATAAAGAAAAGTACATAAAATCAATGTTAGTTTAGTAACAGCTAGCAAGCACTTACTAGAAACTAAATCTTTTTGATCTCAATAGGAGTGAGTAAACTTTTGTTGGATTGGATAATGCTATCAGTAATCTTTAAGTAAAAAAAAGGTACTAATTTTGTATCTTATACATGTCATTTTCCTCTGTACCCTTGAATAATTCTCATCTTGTTTATACAGGTAATCCTCGGCTTAAGACCACAGTTGGGACCAGAATTTTCATCGCTAAGTGATGTAGTCTGTGAGATGTCACATGACCACATTGCTTAGCGACTGTAATCCCGGCAATCCTCTTGCCATCATTAAGTGAATTTCACTGGTCATTAGCTGAGGACCCACCCCAATCCAAGCCATTTCGGGCTTGGTCCCTCCCGGCCCCAAGCCTCAGTAAGGAAAGGGACTGCCTCCAACTGCCCTTACCCGCCTATCTCCCTCCCATTTCTGCCCTTTTGGCTACCTTGCACCCTGCCTTACCAGAAGCCCCTGAGCCACAGCCCAGCATCAACTGTCAGCCGGCCCTGGAAGCCTCAGCCACCCCAGCAAGTGCCAGCAAGCATTCGTTTGCCCAGCTGCCTTCTCTCCCAGTTCCCCGCACCGACCTTTTGCCTTTTGCAGCCAACTGCAGCAGCCTGGAAGTGTCAGCAAGCATTCATTCGCCTAGCTGCCTTTGCTGTCTCCTTTTCGGACCCAGCTTCTCCTGCAAACGTTTCCTTCACATTCCCTGAGCCTTAGCCTTTGGAAAGAGAGGGCAGCTTTCCACTGCCTTTGCAGCTCCTTCAGAAACAGCGGAAAGCTGGCCTCTCTTTCCAAAGGCACTGTGAAGAGAGCGCAGGTCTCCGAAGGCTCAGGGAGCCGTGTGGAGGAAACATTCGCAGAATAAGCTGTATCTGAAAAGGAGACAGCAAAGGCAGCTGGGCAAGTGAATGCTTGCTGACGTTTGCTGGCGCTTCCTGGCCGCTGCAGCTAAGTGCAAAAGGCGAAAGGTCAGTATGGGGAACTGGGAGAGAAGGCAGCTGGCCAAATGAATGCTTGCTGGGGTGGCTAAGGCTTCCAGTGGTGGCTGCGGCTTCGTGCTGTGCTGTGGCTCGGGCTTTTTGCAGGGCAGGGTGCAGGGTGGCCAAAAGGGCAGAAATGGGGAGGGAGATAGGCGGGTGGGAGGAGTTGAAGCATCCCTGCAGTTGTAAATGCAGGTGGGCTGCCAAGCACCCAAATTTTGATCACGTGACTGCAGGGGCACTGGAATGCTGTAACTTTGGGGACCAGTTTTAAGTCACTTTTTTCATAACTTCAAACAGTCGCTGAACAAATGGTCATAAGCTGAGGACTACCTGTATTTGCTCCTATTACAAATATTAACCAGGGAGCTTAAACTATTTAGCGATCTTGAATCTGTTCAGGTTATTTGTTTCAGTGAATAACAATTAAAAACACAGAAATAATGTAAAATTAATTGTTCTGTAAGCAAAGAAATATATGCAAAATAATATGCCAACTGATAATCAACCATAAATTTTCTAATAAATCTAAAATATATAAATCAAGGTAGTTTGTTTATTTATTTATTAAATTTGTATACTGCCCATCTCCCCTGGAGGGTGACTCTGGGTGGCGCACAATTAAAGTAAAACCCAAAAACAGTTAAAAATATAAATATCCACATTAATTAGTTAAA